AATTACTCACTGGGGTGCAGGGTTTAAGCTTATACATGTCGGGTTTGTACCAGCCTTTTGTAAGGCTCCTTATAAAGGTTGTACCAGAATTATATAAGAATGTTTTGTTTAGAAAGGGTTTGAAGAGGGTTTTGCGAGGCTTTCTGTTCCAAGCATATCAGGGAACTGCCAGAATAGTAGCGTTAGGCATCCAAGTTCATAAAGTCGTTTCTTTTTTTTGATTTGTGGTTTCCGGGCTGTGGGGCTTCAGGGCTTTCGAGCTTGTAGGCTTTGAAAGGGTCTTTGGTGATGAGGGTCTAGGAGGAGATGTATGGGTAAACCCTAAACCCTAAATGGGGTCTTTGGAGTCCAGGGCTTGATGGTCTGGGGCTACCCCATTCCAATTACTAAGGCCCCTATGGTGATCCCTAATCCCTAAACCCTAATCCCTAAACCCTAAACCCCAAACCTTAGCGTCCCCTTAGGAGGCCCTTGAGGTTTCTTTTTCGTTTTATCAGGGCGCCGCATTATTTTTGGGACTTGGAAGGGTTTAGGGTTTAGGGTTTAGGGTTTAGTTGGAAGGGTTTAGGGTTTAGGGTTTGAATCGGGATGTTATTCCTTAGGTTCTTTACTGTAAGTATCACCGCAGAAGGCGTGCCAAGAGGTTGTTGGGGGTGCATATTATAGCTTGCTTACATGGGTAGTTGTCAAAATTATGGTCCCTTCTGGGGTACACCCTAAATAATAGTTGCCGTATTATAATAAGGACCCCAAAGGGACCATAATTTTGACAACCACCCACATGGGGACTCCTACTTCTTCAGACCTCCATCTTGAAGATCCCATCTTTTCTTCTGCTCCTCGGTTTGCCAGGCCATGGGTCAGTTGAGGGAAGCCAGAAATCAACATTACCCCAAGCTCACCGCCTCTGTTTACAGGTCTTTTATGTTTGGCACCATTCAACCTGAATCCAACACCCTGAACCGACCACCCTAAAGCAAAACCCTACATGTAAACACTAAGTTGACGGTGTCGTATTGCTACAAGTAGGGCACGTCGCTCGGGGTTCTGTTCGTGCCTTGTGCTGGCGCACATGAGATGAGAGAGCACACTCTTTCTCCGCCCTTGCATCTGTTTCGTTTTTTGGGCCACGGTTCATCGATGGGGTTTATAGCGGTTAGGGGTTGTGTGGGGTTTAGGGTTAGGCTCTAACGTGCAGACAGCTGGGTGCCCCTGAAGGCAGAAAACCTGTCGTTGGTGCCAGGCGCTGAGGAAGGAAAGGAACAGAAGGGTTCCAAAACGATGTTTAGAAGAGTCAACACATTAAGGGTTCCAAAAAGGGCCTTTCTGATTCAGGGTGTCACTAGGGTAGGCGGTGCGACGGTGGGAGGGGTTCTGGCTTTCGGGTTTAAGTGTGGGGTTCAGGGGATGGGGGTCTAGGGTTTAGTTTAAGATGCGGGAAAGCCTCATAACTTAGGGTCACCTTCTCAATCGACAAATTATGCCCCAGCGTTTCTGTAACAGCCTGCACCCCGAAACCCTTAACTGAATCTCCAAACCTTGTCGGGGGCCCAAAGGCGGTTTCCTTAACCCCAGCCCTCAACCCCCCTAAGCCCTAAACCCCAAACCCTAAAACCCGAAACCCTAAGCAACCCCAAACCCTAAACCCTTACTTTTAGGGTTGAACGATTCAAGGTCCTTGGTTGATGCTTTGCGAAGCATGAGTTGTGCCTCCCTGAACCTTGCACGGGCTCTCAACTTACAGTCCTTATGCTAAGGGTTTAGGGATTAGGGTTGCAAAGTTCGGCCGGCTCCAAAATGCCAGGGTATCAAAGGGTCTCGACAGGTTTCTCAAGTTTGTATGAGGATGTTTCATAAAGGTTCAAGATTTAGGGTTCAGAGTTTAGCGGTATCAGTTTTTTTTTTGTTGCTTTAGCGTTTCAGGGTTCTGGATTTTGGGCCCTCTCAGTAGTACTTCGTGGCCCTGAGCAAATCTGCAACCCCGGAAGTTGGTAAGACTCCAAAAGGTAGTTCTCTATAGTAGGGGTTTAGGGTTTAGGGTTTAGGGTTTTTTGGGTCCCCAAAATAGCACGGCACCCTGATACAAAAGACCCCAGCAGTGACCCTAAAGCTGCAAAACCCTTAAACCTGTAACCCGAAACCCTACATCCTGTAACCCTAAACCGTCAACCCAAAACCCTACGAGAAAAAGCGCCTCGACTCGCCCAGGGGCAAGGAAACGTTGGAGGTGCTGCTCGAGGCCGGCTGTGCTGGAAGAGCGGAAACGACTCAAGCTTGGGGTTTAGGGTTTAGGGTTACAGGGTTCGGGGTTTAGGGTTTCGGGTTTAGGGTTAGGGTTTAGGGTTTCGGGTGTAGTGTTAAGGTGCAAGCCCCGCACGATACAGGACAGGAGAATATCACATTTTTAGCAAAGCAAGGCTGCGTGGAAATGGGGTTCAGGGCTTCCCGAAACCCAAAACTCTCAGCCTTTCGGGTATAGGGAGGATCTGAAACCAGGTTTGTCTGCGGCCTTGGTGGTTGTTGTTTTCAGGGTCTGCAGGTTTTAAGGAAGGAGGTGGTTGGTGCTTTCGATGTTCTGCACTTGGACGCCGGGTTAGGCGTGGTATGGGGGCTCTTTGGGTTCGGGGCTGGTGAACCCTAAATCCCAAAAGCTACGAACATCACAAAGGCCCCCCTAGGAATTAACCCTAAACCCGAAACCGTCGGAGCTTAGCCTAAAGCTTGTCCGCAAACCTTTCTGCTCCTCAGTTGGAAGTAAACAGGAAACCCTCAACACATCAGAAACCGGTAAGGGGTCTGTTGAGTAAGCCTAGAATTTAGTCTTGAGGGTTAGGCGAGAGAACAGTCAAGACAGCACTTTCCCGAGGCTTGGCAGGACCATCACCCCCTCCCGCCACGGTTTAGGGTTTAGGGTTTAGGGTTTAGGGTTTAGGGTTTAGGGTTTAGGGTCTTGCAAGCAAGCTTCAGGCCGGGGCGGACGTGAACTTGTCCAACCTGTCCCTCGCCTGGATGTTGAATGTCACGAGGGCCTAGATAATGTCTTAGTTGTACGTAGTATGCTCGCCAGGGGCACAAAAAGACCTGTCGAAGCCTTTTTGACTTCTATGTTAGGGTCCTATGAGGGATTTTGAGTTACAGTAGAGAAAGGTTGCTACTAGCTACTGATCACTGATTTTCCTGTAACTGTGGAGGGTTTTGGCTTGGTGGCTCGGCTGCTTGATAGTTTCTTGGAACATTGCAGCTCTGCGCCCTAAACCCCAAGCCCGAGTAGACGACAGTCTTTGGAGGTGCCAGGGGCAGGCAAAGGGTTCTCAAAACCTTGTTTTTGCGTTGCTGGTTTAGGGGTTTCACAGGAACATGCATATTGGGACCCAATCCCGGAGCCCTAACCCCTCAAGCAAGTTGAGCACTAACAACGGTCGTGTGGCATCCTACTGTACCCTTCCCCCAACCTTTGATCGCATCCTTGCAAATGCGGAGAAGCTATGATATGTAAAGGGGTCCACGCCTTTTAAGAGCACATAAAGCCAGTGAAAGGCAAGCTAAAAGCCGTATAAAACGCGCGTAATTTTTTAGAATCAATAAAAACGCCATGAAAGCATACGGAGAAACAAAAACCGTGCAAAACGCTTTACAACAGTTCCAACGAACAACCATGCAAGCGGCTGAAGAGTGCTAAAGTCCCCAAGTAACAGGATACAAAACTACATGTAGGGTTTGGGGTTTAGTAGTTCAGGGTTAAGGGTTTAGGGTTTAGGGTTTAGGGTTTAGTTTAAGGGTTTAGGGTAAGACCTACCCAACCCCGGGGCTGGATTTGCCAATCAAGGCAGTGGCCGGAGGGACATACTGTTCTCCACGAGGCAGGGCAACAGGTTCGGGCTTAGGGTTTATGGATCCGTTAAAGGAGTGGAGGGCTCAGAGTTTCTTTTTGGGATTGTATTGGATTGTTATACGGTTGTATTGGAGATTCATGTGCCCTCAGAGGGTTGTTATACGATGTTATACGGTTGTATTGGAGATTTATGTGCTCTTGTAGGGTTGTGATTTGTGCTGTTCGAGGGGTTAAAGTTTAAGGCCTCGAAGCTTGACCCAAAACATTTCCTATACCGCCCGGCTCAACAATTATGCTGTAATTTACCCATGTTGCTTCGCATTGCCAGGCCACTCATGGAAAAGCTGTACCAATATTTTGTGCAATTTTTCCCGCTACTAGTAAGAGTAGTACTTTTGATGATTACTACCATTATCCTTAAAATCCTTGTTTATGCTTTTGACTATTCAACATTGTTAACACTAGTATTATTACTACCATTACTATTAGTATTTTTACTACCATCAGTAATAATATTATTATCTTTAGTCTTATCAATACTATTACATGCCTTGGCCATGAAGGTCTCAGGGCAACCTGCGGCAGTGATGTCTGGAGGCTTCTTGACCCTCTGAGACCCGTCAGGCTAGGGCCTTTGCCACCACAGGGACCCGACTATCCGGGTTTAGGGTTTAGGGTTTAGGCGAAATACAGAAGGGCACTATAAGGGCAACAGCCCTTAATCCGAAGCCCTAAACCCCAAAGTAGCAGGGTACTGTCAGGGTATTGTATAAGGGAACCAGGGTCCCTGAACCCCGAAATGACAGTCGCGACCCTGACCACTTCCCTAAACATCTCAAGATGCCTAATATAGTGGTTTGAATGATTGCCTATACTATTTTGGGGGTTCCTTGTTAGAAATATAGTATAATTACAGCCCAAAATCTTATTCTAATTATTAAGGTCCTTACATCAGACTGTCCAGGCTGCGCGAATGGGAGACATAGATCTTGTACACAAAGTCTTAGCTGCCGGAGCAGCGATCGACGCCAAGGACGGGGTGTGGGATTGAGGGTCTCCAGTTCAGTGCAGTGCTTCACTGCTTGCCAAATTGTCCTTTCGAAGATCGCTTGTTCGATGTTTGGCTTGGGAGTTTCTTGAACTCAAGCGCTCTATTCCATTGGTTGCCATGGGCTCGCAGCAATCTTGCTGCGCTGGTCAGGAAGAGGTGCAGGTGGAAAATGTAACCTCTCTGCAACATCAAGTGTCTGAGGGGGGATGTGGAGAGGGAAAGGCTGCCGAGGGTGGCATTCGCTTTAGCGACGTGCCCCTCGACTTCCGTCAGACGACCATATCTTCTGCGTTGACCATAGAGGCAGACTTGTTGAAGGGCATATCACTCTCAAAGACGTTGCGAAACTTTGGGAGCCTTTGGCGCACCTCTCCTGCAGATCTGAAGGAGTCAGATCGTGCTTCACTGTGGCAGAAGTCCAGTCGAGTAGAAAGACTGGACGTTTTCATTTCACATACGTGGTGGACTTCGGGCAGAGAGAAGTTGCTTGCTCTTCTCCTGCAGAGCGGTTGGCCCATGGTACTGTTAGTCTACCTTATGGCAGCTGCGGCAGCAGTGTTGCTTTCAGTGCTTGAGGTCTTGCCGCTGCCTTTTCAAAGCCTGGCGGAGTTTATGTCTGTTGAGTATCATGTCGCACGTGGGGTTTGGGTTACCGTCTTCACTGTTGTGGCCATGCCCATTGGCCTTGCCTTGTCTCCTTATCTGCGTTTGAGGGCGGATCCCTGTTGCTTCCTGGATGTGGCCTGCATTCATCAAGCAGATCTTGAGCTGCAGAGGAAGGGGGTCTACGGGCTCGCTGGATTTTTGGCGGCTTCCCGAGAGATGCACATTTTATGGAGTCCGCCATACTTAGACACTGAATGGCACTTTGGGAAATGTTTCACTTCTCCTAACCCCAAGCCCCAAACCTTATTCATAAGGGTAGTTCTCTACATTAGGGTTCCTCTTTAGACTTTTTCGTCCCCCCAAATAGTGCGGGGGCAACCCCAATAAGAAAGGCCCCCTCACTTTGACCCTAACTTAGAGAACTACACATGTACTGTCGGGAGCCCTGCAAAGCGAAATCCAGGACAGACTTTGGTGTGTCTTCGAAATTGCTGCCTTTCGAAAAGCAAACCCACAGGGGAAACTGCTAGTTCGGCCGCTCTTCGTGGAAATTCAGGCCTTGTGGTGGCTGCTGGGTTACCACACAGCGGGGTGCATTACAGCCGTCTGGCTGAATTTAGGCTTGCCGTGGGGTGGAATCTCCTACTTGGTAGCCAGTTCTCCTTTCATATTCATCTGCCACCGGAACCGCAAGCACATGCGGGAGAAGCACGAGCTGTTCCAGCACCTGCGGCATTTCCGCTTAGAGGACGCGAAGTGTCGCATGGCGTCAGACAGGGAGTTCGTCCTTGCCTCAATCAAGCAGTGGTATGGGAGTGAGGAGGCGTTCGTTGAGTATGTCAGAGGGCCCCTACAGCAAGAGCTTCTCAAGTCTGGGGCAGACATTCCCTTGTCCTATTGCCTACTCATGGTTCTAGCCTTCGTCAGCATATCGCTTGACACGAAGACGGGGGTCCTCATGGCAAAAGTTCCTCTGTCAGCACAGCTACCGCATTTGATGGCCCATGACATCGGCTATATCTTTCTCTGGTTCATGCTCGGGTTGAAGATAACCTGGCGATTCACAGAGCTCTTCGCTGTTGCAACGTCCCACCGCCTATTGGACTATGCGGTGTCTTTTCTTTTGTATCTCACGTGCTTCCTGGGCTGGTCATGGGTGGGTGGGGAGCTGATGCTTGTGGCTTTGACAAGTCTTTGGTTATCGACTGCTTGGATTCTGGCAATGCTTGCGGTCTTGACGGCGATTCATTTCCGCTGGTTCGTCAGAGCTCGGCAGCAGGTGCCTCAACAGCACCTGCCTCCGCAGCAAGTGCCTCCAGTGCCTCCGCAGCACCCTGAGGATGATGGAGCGTGAATGGGCCGAAGCAGGAAGATGGTTGGTTTTCAGAGCCGTGACTCCAATGAGTACACTGCCCATATCCCCAAGGTGGCTGGGCCAGTCATCAGGGGTGCGCCGCCGCTTCACCAGGTACAGATCTTAGAGGGCTTTGGTCAGTTTCACCGACCTCTTGCTGAAAAGCTCAGGAGAAATAAGGCAGAGACGGGGGCCAGGATGTTTTGATGCCGGCAGTTGCAGACACACGCCATGCAGCCCACGGAACGGTTCGCATGAGCCTCTGTCCAAAGCTAAAACCCTGAACTTGGTCCGGCTTGTTTATGAAGCTTACATTGCCAGTTTTCCACAGCCCTATATAGCCTATACCCATACCACCGCCACCCTCAACTACTTCGGTTCCTTCAACAAAAGCCGCAACAGAGTAGTACATCCTATCAATGCTAACCCCCAAGCTCTAGCATTGGACCCCCGAATCCGATTCACAATCACCCTAAACCCCTAAACCCTAAACCCTAAACCCTAAACCCTAAACCCTCTACCCTAAACCCGAAATCCTAAACCCTAAACCCCTAAACCCTAAACCCTAAATCCTAAACCGCTAAACCCTATACCCTAAACCCGAAATCCAAAACCCTGGTCCTATTTACAAGCATCGCAGTGGAGCCCACAACCGGCCGAAGTTGCCCAAAACTGCAAGCAGGGATCCGATAAAGTTTGGTTTTGGGGCCGTTTATGGGTTTAGGGTCTTAGGGTTTCGGGTTTAGGGGTCTGGGGTCTTAGAGTTTAAAGTTTATTGGTTTAGGGTTTAGGGGTTTAGGTGTTCAGGGGTTTAGGGGTTCAGGGTTTAGGGGCTTTGCAATAGTGATAGCCAACGTCGTTGCCATGTCCATTACTTGTAAGTTTATTGCTGCGGCTAGAGGAGCTTCTGGGCAAGAACTCATAGCGCGAATGGCTTAGGATCTAACTGGGCTCTGGGTTTAGGGTCTAGGATTTAGGGATTCTAGAACCCTAGGACTTTGGGCATAGTGCGTGGGGAATGTAAGCATTGCCATTTAAATTCTCAGACTCTAGAACCCAAGATTCAACACTTGGGGTTTGGCTTCAGGGCTGAAGCCTTGGGAGTTCGGGACCTAGGTCTGTGGGTGCTTGGAGTTGTTTATAGCTCGGGGCCACGTTTAGGGTTCAGGGTTTAGGGTTTAGGGTTTAGGGCTTAGGGTTAGGAAAGGATGGATGGGTGGATGGAAGGAGGGAGGGAGCTTCGTTTGAGAACACCCGCACCAGCCTTCCATAAAGACAGAGATGGCAACAAGCGACCATGCTGGAAGCAGCAAAACGAAGAGAAGCAAAGTCTTCTTCACCCTGACCATCTGAACCAGAACGACGGCGACCCTTGTGAGGGTGACACGGTAGCAATAGCCAAATACACCAGGATATGGGAGTCACCGATAGGCTGAAGGCTTTCAGCCTAATGTAGGAACCTGACTGAGAAACCCTCGGCCGCCCTGATCCTATAATCTCAAAATATTAAGCTCCGAATAAAGACTCGTAGTAAGCACCCAAGGTTTCTTCATCAGCTTACCATATTACTTAATGCTATTTTGGGGTTTAGGGTTAATTCGGGTGAAAAGGTGTAGATTTTTGTTCAGGGTTTTGGGTGAAGGAGTTCGGGTTCAGGGGTTTAGGTTTAGGTCCCCGAAGCTCTGATTGATTGGTTTAGGGTTCAGAGCAGTTAGGTTGTTTTTGGGTTTGGGGGCTTAGGATCTAAGGCTTGCGGGCTAAATCTCAAACTCCAACACCGAAGCCCCAGACCCCGCACCCTGTATTGTAGGGGGCCTGACCAATTCGTCATCCGTAGTGGTATCCCATTGTAGTTTGTATATCTGTTGCCGAAAAGTATACCCCAGAATCCTATCATAATTATGAAGGCAACTGCACTAGGAAGGGATGCTGACACTTCTGGAACTGCAGCCAACGGCCGGTCGGCCGTGCTTAGAGGAGGATAAATCGCAGAAAGGAGCGCAGACGCAAGGTTGTAGACCTACTTGAAGCCTTGACAACGGTTTACTACAACCCCTGATCTTGTGAACCGATCATTGGAAAATCCTGCAATCCGAAACCCAACTAAACCCTAAACTGCAAACCTTCATGCTTCCCAAATCCTAAACCTTACATCCGACTCTTTGCAGCTGAGCTTCAAGCCTCTGCGATTTCTTGCCCCAAGTGGTCAGGATGCCAAAGGTGGTCTCACGCCACTGCATCACGTCAGGGACCCAGAAGAGAACCCAAATACAGGGTCCTGAGCAACTACCACTAGTATTCCTCGGAGTTCATCTGAACTGTGATAATGCTGCAGTAGGCAAAGCCTTGTCTAATTATTCAGACACTTGCATTAAGCCTCTGCGATCGTTCCGATGATATTATGCACCTCGTTACGTTTTCTCTCTTTGTAGAAGCTGTCCTAGATGAAATAGATCCCTCTTGACTGGGCTGCGCCTTGACTAGATCTAGGATGATAGGGGTAGGGTTTAGGGTTTAGGGTCGCTTCCGAATTTTCTATTTTGCTTGCTGAGGTATGCACAGACAGTAATTCCCAGTACGTCCATCCAGTCTTTACAAGGGGCATCGGTTTCGGACGAGCTTACTAATCAAGACTTCCTCCTCGAATTCCAACAACACTGTTTTCCAACTAAATCCTTCCGCCTACAGACAACAACAAGGCACCCCTCTATGGACACTACGTGGTACGATCCTTTATATCAGAACCCCCACTCCCACCCGAAAATCATCCCAAGCCTAAGCCTAGGCCCAAAACTTTACTGAGACCTCCAACCCTAAACCCTGCAAGGGGTGGTTTGGGGCTTTAGGGCGAGGGCCCAGGGCACTGTTAGTACCGGGCTCTCCCTAGGAATGATGCTCACAGATGTTATCAGGAAAGCCCTCGGGGTGGTGGAAAATGCAACCCAAGGGTAGGGTTTAGGGTTTAGGGTTTAGGGTTTAGGGTTTAGGGGGGCATTAGCAACAGTATTCACAGCATGAGTCTAACGGGCTTGCAGACAAAACCCCCAACAACCAAGTCTACTGTTTCAGGCTTCTGTAGAGGGATCTGCTTGTGAAGAGGTGTAGGTTACACTTGAGGTACAGGCGCGGCCCCCATAAACACCGGTTTGAAAACACCCAAGCCGCACACCCGAAGCCTAAACCCTGAGCCCCGAACCATACCTAAGCCCAAAACCGATCATTCCTACGGCAATTAGTGGCTCCTGCGATTGGCGTCGCTTTGGGTGATTGCCATTCTTCTTATTGCCAAGCCTGACTCCCTAATTCCCGAACTCAAAGTCCTGAGCCCGAAGCCCCTAAACCCTAAACCCTAAACCCTAAACCCTAAACCCTAAAGCCTGAACCCTAAAGCCTGAACCCTGGAACTAAAAAAACCCCAAAGCCCAGAAGAGTTGAGGCCTGCAGGGCGAAGCGTGACGATGTGATCAGGTCCGCCCTCACACTAGTTTAGGGTTTAGGGTTTAGGGTTTAGGGTCCATGGGTTTAGGGTTTAGGGTCTAGGGTTTAGGGTTTAGGGCGTCGTTTAGGGTTGAGGCCCATGAGTGTGCTCGTTTTGGACATTCGAGTGTTGTGCGGCATTTGCAGGACGTTTGGGTGCAGGGCTTTGGGGATTTCGTGCATCGTGTCTGTGATGGGTCAGGGTTTCTCGCGTTGTTGTATGGGTTTCGAAACGGCTGAGGCCATAATTTTCGTACAGCAGCGTTTAGGGTGCTTAGGGTTTGGGGATGTAGTTTGGGGTTAGGAGGTTCCAGGGTTGAGGGCTGAGGGGTTAACTTGCTGTATTCCAGACCAGAAGAGCCCAAAAGCCATGGGGTCTAGGTATTAGGGTTTAGGGTTGCCAAAGCCCCAAAACATTGAAACCCTCAAACCCTTAAACTTTCAACATGCTTTAAGCCCAGACCACCCTGACCCCAACACCTGATAAGCTCGTACACTCCCGCGTACCTCCAAGTCTGTGAGCTCCCAAATCTCTTCAAACTGCAAGCCTTTTATACGCTACTGCGAAACGTTTCCATCCGTGGTGCCGAACACCACGACACCTATGCCCATGGGTTGCAAGTGCTGTGCACAGACCGGTTGTTCGACATTCAGGACTACCAAAATGTGTTAGAGCCTGAAAATTCATCGAACGGGACGCCTAGCACAGCTGATGAGCCATGTCGATGACCACAAACCCAAAAATCATGCAAACTCTCATGAAGCATGATGAGAAGTCACAAGCCACAACAGCCGAAGGAGCCTAGCAGCATTGTTCCTTGCACCATAGGAAATCTAGATCGAGTCATGAGGGCCCTTTGCTACCGGCCCCCCAACGCAGTGAAGCCCAAGCCCTGACAAATTCACCCTGCCAGGGCACTTCTGGATGCAAAGGCCGATGCACAACAGAAGTCGGCATTGGCCTTGGAACGAACCACAGAGAGTGCCTGCGAATGCTGAACTTACATCCCCAACACAGGGGGCTGACTGAAAGCTCTGAACCCGAAGCTCTTGCAACTAAACTAAACGCCAGTCCCTCAACCCTAAACCCCAGACCCCAATTCCCAATCCGGCGCAAAATTGAGCAGCTGCGCGGGGGTACGTAGCAATGGCATTGTTTGGGGTTCCTGAATACATTCGTGCAGAAACCTCCCCAAACCCTGGCCTTGTTACTTGGGCCACCTTGTTTGTCTAATCCCAAAACCCTAGCTTAGGAGAGCCCCAAACCTAAACCCTAAACCCTAAACACTCAAACCCGCCCGGCGAACCTTCTCAGTTGGTTGACCATTTTTCTCACCCTCAGGCCTTCTGCAGTCAAGGTTGGTTGCTTAGATTTGGGACTTTAGCCGTGCAGCAGATGAGCTCGAAAGCCAGCATCCGCGATGCCTGTAGCCCGGCACCCCTTCTCACTTTCCCTCTGTATGTATGCATGCATGTACACATATAGACGTATATGTACATATAGACACATACGTATGTATGTATGTATGTATGTATGTATGTATGTATGCACTTTAACATATATATATATCTATCTATCTGTATATATATATATATATACACATGCGGTGGCAGCTTCTAACTATAGGGTAGTGAAGGGTTAAGGTATTATGGTCTTTCCTTCACTTGCCTTCCAGAAAAAGACCACAGCAACGAACCCGAGTTGGGGCTCTTTGCTCAAGATCCGACTCTGACAGCCAGACATACGACGGGAGCCTCAACAGCTGGTGCGGCGAGTCCCTAAAGTTCGCATTTAGGCTTTAGGGAATTCCTTCTTCAAAGGAATGGAGTATCTTGACATGTTATTCCGAGTATTCCTACTCACAAGCCCTAAACCCTAACTAACCCCCCCAAAACCCGAAACCATAAGCCTTCAACCCTGATTAAACCCCCTAAAACCCTAAACCATAAGCCCTAAACCCTAATTAATCCCAAGCCATCTCAATCCTGCTTGGGCTTGAAAGCCCAGAGATACCATAGGGGCCTTAATACTCACATATACTCCTTGGTATAGTTATAGTATACTATGCCCCGAATCCTTATGCTAATTGTTAAGGCCCCTGCAGTAGTTGGTGCGCTGATGCCGGGCTGCTGCCTCGATGAGAAGCGACCCGAGGCGACTTCTCGAAGCTGCAGCGGAGACAGCACTTGGGGGTTTCCGAAAATAAGGGGACCCTAATATAGTACCCTAAATAGTAGGATTCTTATTATAAGGACCCCAAAATAAGGTACCCCAAATTTTCGGAAACTCCAACTTGGATTTAGGGCTTCAGGGCTCTGCGAGGGTTCTATGGCTTTCTACAGGGTCTCGGTCTTTATGCCCGCCCCTCATTATCCTCATCATCATCCTCCTCATCATCATCCTCCTCATCCTCATCCTCATCCTCATCCTCATCCTCATCCTCATCCTCACCCTCATCCTCATCCTCATCCTCATCCTCATCCTCATCCTCATCCTCATCCTCATCCTCATCCTCATCCGCATCATCATCATCATCATCATCGGCATGATTATCATCATTATCATCATCCTCAGTGCCATCAGCATCATTATCATCATTATCATCATTATCATCATTATCATCAGCATCACTATCAGCATCACCATCAGCGTCACCATCACCATCATCATCATCATCATCATCCTCATCATCATCGTCATCAGCACCATCACCATCATCACCATCACCATCACCATCCAACCATCATCATCATCACCACCATCATCATCATCGTCATCACCACCACCATAATCACCATCACCATATCCACAACCATCATCATCAGCATCATCAGCATCATCAGCATCATCAGCATCATCAGCATCATCAGCATCATCAGCATCATCAGCATCATCAGCATCATCATCAGCATCATCAGCATCATCATCGCCATCATCATCTCCATACTCTTTCCGACCGCCGTGGTCGTTCCTGCTTCAATACCAGTCGCATCGTTTCGAAAGCCAGCCAAGAGGGACGCGTAACCCTCCGGGTTAATTCCCTAAGCCGAAAAACACCTAAACCCTAAACCCCGGAACCTTGACCCGAAGTCCCGGTGAACAAGTCTCTTGTTACAGTCAGCCTTGGCCCCGTCCCTAGCGTTGGAGGAAGGCCCAAGCCCTTAACTCTAAGCCTGATGGTGACTTGTTGTAGCTTTGATAACCCCTACACAAACCTAAGAAGGACGGGTTTTGATGACAAAAACTCTACAAAAACCTAAGAAGGGCGGGTTTTGATGGCAAAAACCCTTACAGAAACCTAAGAAGCACTGGTTTTGATAACCAAAGGGAGGGACACAACCAAAGCACGGCGTGGGCGAGGGAGAGGGGGGGGATGATCATTCAAGCCGCAACAATCCGGTGAAACGGACATTCTTGGGTTTAGGGTTTAGGGTTTGGGGTTTAGGGTTTACGCTTGTTCTCATGCCCTAAACATCCCTCAGCCATACTCGCCATCCCAAAGCGCTTACGCCCTAGGCCCCAGACCGTAAACCATACCCTCAAGCCTACTCTGCTCCTCCTTGGTTTTCTGGCCAAACCTTCTCCAAGGGCCCCTGTTCGTACGGTACTTTAGCCCTCCTGTTATGTTGGGGGTTCATAATCATACTATAATATAAAGGACCCCGAACCCTAAACCCTAAACCCTAAACCCTAAACCCTAAACCCTAAACCCTAAACCCTGAACCCTAAACCCTAAACCCTAAACCCTAAACCGTGTGGGGCCTCTGAAGCCAAGGCCGGGCGACGCAGGTGAAGCGCCTGCTCCTTGCGACGGGCCTGGCGGCTTCGACGGAAGCAAGGCTCCACTTCGTCGGGAGGCCGCTTACAGGGAGTACTACTACTCCCTACTACTACTACTACTACTACTACTACTACTACTACTCCTGGTCCTATTGGGGTTTAGGGGTTAGGGTTCAGGATGTGGTGAGGGGCTTCGAGTTCGTGGTGATGCTTAGAGGAACTTGCAAGATTGCATTACACATGTGTTTACATATATATATATATATACATATGTAGACTTATCTGTATAGAAGTAGTTCTCTACATACCTTTGTGTGAAGAAGTTTTGTGTTAAACGTGACAGTAAGCGCTCAAAGCTCTCTTGGGATGGAGGGTTTCGGGTTGAATACTGGTTGTAGCACTATTAAACAAAAGTGGCAGTACATGTATTTACTGTACAAGAACATCTCCCGAACTACCACAGCAGGCCTTCGAAACCCTAAACCCTAACCCCCAAACCGTTAACAGTTTCATCCCACCTGTTGGAGCTGTTCTGGGTCCCGTTTTAGATTCCAATAGTAGTACGACACCCTTATACAAAGGACCCTAAGCGGAACCCTAATTTAGAGAACGGCCCGTTTGAGGCCTCCAACATTCCAGTCGCACGCCTGGCTCCAGACGGCTCGGGCCGTTTCTCCCTCGCAGCCGGACCGCCAGGAGTCTGATCTCCATGTCGAACCCTGGCCCGAAACGCGATCTTTCGAGTTTCCGAATTGCCAACGCGTTCTGCTCTTCAGGTTCTAGAAGGGTTAAGATGTCCACATGTTTCTACTAATGACATGGTTTGTGTCGGTCTCGCTTCTGGGTTTAAGGTTCAGATTCTACGGTCCTGGGGTTATCTTTCGGAGAGTTGCACCCGATGGCGCAGGCGAGACATTTTCGATGATAGCTGAGGTCACGGTGCATACAGAACTCGAGGAATGCAAAATCCTAAACCCTAAACCCTAAATACTTACCACGAGTATTCCTTCGGGTTTCTCATACTATATTATAACAGACCGCCAAACCCTATTCTAATTATGAAGGCCTCTCTATATTAGAGCCCTTTATAGTTACATACACTTTAGAAACGGAGCCCTTCTTGAAGGAACCTTATTCTGACTGTTCAGGCCCCCCTTTTTGTCTATGTAGGGCGTCGCATCGAGGGGGGTTGATGTCTAAACCCGAAACCGTACACCCCAAGTCCCGAACCCTAAACCCCAAACCCCTAAAGCCCTAAAGCCCTAAACCCTAAACCCTAAACCCCTAAAGCCCTAAAACCCTAAACCCCTAAACCCCTAAAGCCCTAAAGACCTAAACCCCTAAAGCCCTAAACCCCCAAACCCTAAACCCTAAGCCCCTTAAACCCTAAACCCTAAACCCTAAACCTCTAAACCCTAAACCCTAAGCCCTGAACTTTAAAACCTAAACCCTACACCCCTA